TTTTGGATTTTTGTTCTTACGTAGAGGCGAACAAAGTATAACTAATTGTAAGACTACCTCGGTTGCACTGCGGGTTGATATCTGATTGATGTAGTAAAGTACATTACTTATCCTCCCCCCTCCCCCAGCCACTTCTCAAGTATTAACCTCAATTGAATTGTTCTAAAAGTTACAGTTTAAACACTGTAAGCTAATCGAATAGGCCTAACATTTGTGACAAAAATCACATAACCTGCAGATGTTTGTTTTCTCCGCTTTCCACTTCGGATTCCAAATCACAGGTGTGTAAAAATAACATTTCACACCTATCTTTTGTCTCCCAAAAGTCACTGCTAAGAGGCTTTTTCTTCAATATTAGAAATAGAAAGCTTTTGTCTATCGTTGTTCAGCACAGATAAGGGTTTTGGTATTTTATGAAAAACCGAAATCACCCCCTCTCCCTACCCGTCAACAGAAATCTGTTATCCATTTTTTTTTCTATAAGTTAAGCGCTGGTTTAGATCATACCTTTAGAAAGTTGGATTTTCATAAATTGCGCATTTTGAAACATTATGATCAACAATATTTCATTTTGTAATATCTGATCTAGAAATCCGTATTTCTAAAATTACAGTTTACAGGTATGATCTTACTACTAATTTTGGTGAATGTGTTTCTTTAGAATTGAAATTAGGCTTAAAAACCAAACATTATCAACACTTTTTGTGCATTATAATTTTTGAGCGTTGTTGAACTGAAATATTCTAGTTTCTAGATAGATAATATGGATAAACATTGTCAGTTGAGTTAGAGCATCTTCTATACTGTATAATTCTCCAGTTCTTAATTCATTCTCTTAGAAATAGCTTTTTAAACTCAAGGATAAAAATCACACACACACACACATACATATATATATATATATTATTTTTTTTTTCAGTCGGCATCTTGTTTAGATTATTAAAGATAAAAAATAAAAATATTTTTAAAAAGTTTTTAAGAAGGTCCCCGATGCAGTAAATGTTGATATTCACTTAGTGACTACAAGCGGCCACAAGAAAACGGATATAGTGATACAAGGTCCAAAGGTCCTTCGCCACCTAAACGCCATCATCATTTACCGAATCCTCCTTTTGTGTCCGGACTAAGCCCAAAGATCACAGCCAATCACGAGAAGTGTAATATGAGCTTCAGCTTCGACGATTCTGTCCATGATGTTAGAGCTAAAGAACGAGACCTTTATGAAAGTAGGCGATACTTAATTTGTTTTAATAAAAAATTATTTTTGTTTCCATTGAATGACAACTCAGTAATATGAAGTTTTCAGTAATTTATAAAAGAAACGCTATGGAGTACAAATATTCTAGCCAAATTTACGCAACATTTATAAGTCTATTTACGCCTTTAGAGTTTGTTTATTTGTGTTTAAACGCAAAACTATATAATGGACTATCTGTGCTGTGATAAACACGGGTATCGAGCCCCAAATTATAGAGTTATAAAATTCTCAAACTCATCGCTGAGCCAAATCTTAGGCCATTTTTAGGGAAGCGTTCTGGAAAGAAACCTTAAATGTGTCTTATCTGAGCAAGATTTATCTTCTTTCCAGAAACCGAATGATATTCGTAAGAGGAAATAAAACCTGATACAAAATTGACAAAAATTATACACGTAATTAATTTAAGTGTACTATGGAAAATATAATAATATTTTGCTCAATTTTTCAACTAAAGCACTGATCATTAATGCTGTACGCTCCTGAAAAAGTCTAGCAGCCAAAACATTGAGTTTGTTTTGATTTAAGCGCAATGCCACCTGGGGTGTCCCCTAGCGAGGGATTCGGCTACGAAATATAGCGTTATATGCCCTTAAACCTCCGCTAAACTATTTATGGGGTATATAAGTCACGTTCTTTGTTTTAATATCAATTCATTATGAACTGTTGATTTCATATTTCTTGATTTCTTGTTAACGTGTTGCCCTGATTGTAAACCAAAAATCTCAAAACCATTATTACCTTCGCCACCAAAGGTGACGGATGTTATGTTTTCACCCCTGTTTGTGTGTTTTTGTCAGCAAGATTTCTCGAAAACGACTGAATGTATTTGGAAGAAAGTTGGTATACATTTGGACTATGATCAAACTTAGAAACGGTTAGTTTTAGATGGTCAAAGTTAAAGGTCAAGGTCACAGCAAGGTCACGAATATCCAAAAAAATCCATATCTGTTAACATGGGGACCGATTTTTCACACTATTTTTGCTCTATAACTCAGTCAAAAATAATTGGATTTTGATTACATTTAATGGTCATATGTAGAATATTATTTCTCATTGTCCTGCCAAAAATGGTTTGTGTCCGTTGATAACGACGGCAACATTTTCGCATTTTTTGAGAGCCAAATATGATCAGCGAGGTATGCGCTCTATTGAGTGCCCCCCTCTAGTTTATAATATTTTTTATGTTGTTGCCTTTATTATTAAAACTTTAAAAGAATTATAATGATCCTAAAAAATACGTGTGTAAGATTTCTTTAAAGTATTTCTATACAATACTAAGGTGCAAAGACAAAATTATCGATAAAAGTAAAATACGCTATTTGATGGATAAGCGATAAAATTGAGGGCTTATAACGCTATAGTTCTGGGATCGACGACTTTACCCTAAAAAACAAAGTTTAGTTTTGACCTTTCTTCAAAACATTCTTAAAATGTTATACAAACTAATATTTGCTGTATTGATATTTTCCTATTTAATTAGAAACCTTTCAAAAAGAGCTCTCAGAAGAAAAAGAAACGGAAGATGAATGGAGAAACATATACACAGTACGTAAATATTTTGATTATAAGCTTAATAAATAACGAAATGTATTTCCACAAGTCCTCGTGTCCAGTTAGTTGGTAGAAAAGACAATGACACAGGAAACTCCAACCAGCTAAGACAGCTTGATTATAATATTCTAAGTTACAATTGATTATATTTCCATGATATGAATGTTTTTGTTTTTCCTGTTTTCGTTTTTTCATTAATATGCTTGAAATTTGCACATACTGTATGATATTCAGTTCTGGAAGTAATTTGTAAATCCACAAACTTTTTTTTTTAGTTCTTAGCATTGTTCCATTCGATGCAATTCTCAATATGATGAAATCTTGGGCGGTAGGGATAAAGTTACAGTCTTGTATTTGATTCCGTATAATCAGTCAGATATTCTTTGCTATTTTATTACAAGTTACAGATTTTTACAATAAGTATGATTTATTTTTAAAACAGATACCTGTTCAAAAAACAAATATAATTTACTGTAAAAGCTGTAACTTGTAATTAAACATACTTATATTAGTAAATAATCGAAACCATTATTTTGGAAAGTTAATCGAATGATAAAATGTTAAGAACTACTAAAGTAAGTTTGTGGACTTACAAGGTAGTTTGTGGACTAACAAGGTAGTTTGTGGACTAACAAGGTAGTTTGTGGACTAGCAAGGTAGTTTGTGCACTAACAAGGTAGTTTGTGCACTAACAAGGTACGTACAGAATTCAATATCAGTCACTCTCATTCGTATTTACTATATGATATTATAATTAGCTATATACAAGGTGCAACAAAAGTTTGTTGCCAAGCGCAAAGCTTTGCAATGGGCTATCGGTGCTCTGCCTACCGTGGGTATCGAAACCTTAGTTTTAGCTGAGCTACCGGAGGGAGGGGCAAAAGTTCCTATTCATTTGTTTCATTTATAGAATTATTTAATTTCTAAGTATTACTCTGAAACAAAGAATAATTAAGTTCGTTTCAATTGTCTTTACAATATCTTTGGTACCCATTGAACAATATAAAATACATCAAAGGTGTAAGTTTGTTTTTATTTTATTAAATATTTCAAGTCCCATAATGCACATCACACCAAAATATCGTGACAAATTAAAAAAAAGGTCCACTTTTCATTCTCGTTTGAGTACCTGTTAACATAGAAACATCCAAGTAAACCTCAATGCACGTAATGTGATCTACTGTAGTTGAATATCTGTTAAAAATATCCAAGTAAACCTTAATACACGTTATGTGATCTACTTTAATTGAATACCTCTTAACATAAAAATATCCAAGTAAACCTTAATCCACGTTATGTGATCTACTTTAATTGAATACCTGTTAACATAAAAACATCCAAATAATCCTTAATCCATATAAGGTGATTTACTTTAATAACAAGTTCTAGCTAATCTCAAAATTTTGTTCTCGGTTCAGATTTAAGACTTAATATTTTGTTCTGTTCCAAAAATAAGTAACTAATATTATCCAACCTAAAATCAAGAAACGTAAATCTGTTAAAACACTTCATGTACATTATTGTTTATCTGTTGAATTGTTATTCTATGAGGTTCAGCTTTAAGCTTGAGGGCTTATAACACGAAAATTCTAGGTTCCGTTCCTGTGTTGGGCTCAGTGCAGCTTTGTACTTAAAAAGCTAATAAATAAAAAAACAGAAATTTTGTTATGTTCGATGGATAGAGGAGATATTGAACTTACTTTAAGCCTTGGATTACTGGTGGGGTTTAAGGGCTTTTAAAACACATTTATGAAGCTACTTATTCCCTAACTAAATTGCTTCTGGGCCAAGACTAACTTTTTTGGTTATAGGGTTCCTAATAATATGAGTCACACAGAAGTATTTAAGCAAAAATATGATAACTGTTGCGTTTAATCCATTATTGACATACCATAGGAATTTTACATAAAGAAATGAGTATTTTCACCTAATTTGGCCCAGCGTAGTTTGGTGGTTAG